AGGGCAACGTTGTACGTGGAGCCAGGGGGGTTTTCGAAAGCAAAAGTACAAGACGGCGAGAATGAAAATCTTTGAAGCGCGGCCGATATGGTCGTGTGCAATCTGTTGACCAATTACAATTAGGCGAGTCGCGTAGGTTGATAATAAGCCAGCACTGATCAGTGATGAGGTGCTGTTGTGCACGGTATTGTGTAAACAATACCGTGCGCAATACCGTAAGGACGAAAAAAAGACGTACCTTCTCCCCATCCTCCGTCGCTAGTGGACGCTGGATTAAGCTCGTTCCTAAACCGCGAGGGGAAAAGACGCTGATCCAGAGGCACGAACAGCTTCACGCACATTGCACTCGCTGAACACATACACACGGCGTCGGTTCTTGGTCGGTATCCAAGCGTGCGAAGGCACAGAGACACGGCACTTCGGCGTGCCAAGGATGCTTTGAACACGCCGCCAGCCCTTCCTTTCGACGCGTTGTGCATTTTTCCTGCGACACTGCACTTTCGTAAAATTTTCCACGTGTTCACAACGGAAAGTCTCAACAATACACAGAGTCTTCAAAAAACTTCTTCGGCGAATGACGACGAACGAGTAGAAAACGTGTCGTCAGCACGCTGGAAAACCGCAGCAAAGGCTAGCAAAAACGGCAAATCGTATCCCAAGCGAGTGAAGCCCGGTGGCTTCACTTGCGCTGCAGCGAACAAGCGGGGAAGCGCGATCCAGCAATTGTCATAGAGATCAGTGATTGCAACCGTCGCCTGCGGCGGAGTCCTCTTGTGATCAAGCACGGCTTGTCATATCTGCTGTTTTTTGTCTTGTTTTTAGCGCTGCCGGGCAGCATATTAACCAGCAGGTCAGTTGTTTCACACCGAAATTTGCCCCTCTTGTCAGTGTCAGGACACACGTAAGCAGAAGCATAAAAGCCCCGTGAGTAGGCGATATGAAAACGACCTAAACTATATGGTGTTGAACAGATCGGAGCGGCAGCACCATATGTTCTTGGTCATGCGGCAGTCGAAGGCTCACGCTGCGTTGTCTTTTTCTGCTGATGTGATTTTGATTGGTGAAATTTCTGCAAATTCCTGTCTCTGAATGGGACGTGAATCCAGCACGTAGCGTTGAATGTGATTTTGGCTTGAAGTGATGAGAACTCCGTGTCGCTTTTGACGAGGACTGTTGAGCTGAACCACGTAGTATAGTCAGGTTCGTTTTCCTCCAACCACTTCTTTTAGAACCCAGAGAATTGTGATACCTCCAATGTTATCTTTAGCTCAGGTGAACAGCTGACAGGCCGTCATAATTTAATTCTGAAAGGGACTTTCAAGACTGGCCCTTGCTGCCTGACGCTTCACTGTTTCCCTACTTCGTTATAAGCACTTCCTTCCATGGGATGTAGGAAAACAATTCCACTCAGCGGAAATGCCGTAATCGTTGCAACTGAATAAAGCCAATGAAACATTATGACCAGCAAACACGAGACAACTATCATCCTAGATTAGAAAATTAAACAATAACAGCGCCATGGGGTGGCGCTAATTTAAATTGACGCGCGGCGGCTTCATATCACTGCCGTTTTGCGTGGCTTTCTGCGTGGTTTCAAAGCTGGGATGCCTCAGATCGCGGCTTCGGGAATTTATCTGCTTTTTGGTGCGGCTGATGACGTCGGCTCGCTCCTTCGGACCCAGTTAAAGCTTTCGCATTAAAAATGTCTTACTTACACTCATCATCACCTCACGAACCGCAGCATGACTTACCTGTGCCGATTGACCTGCTTCATCCCTCGTTACAGCAACGTATACTCCGACGAAAAACAAACTTCTTTTATGGGCAGATTCCCGATCACGCTACAAGTGGTAAGGTCATTCGAAACAATACTCCTCATTTTTCTGCCCTCTCTTACAGTCGGTCCTTTCCTTTCAAAACTGTTTCACCTTAGGATGGACTGCAGCGGACGCTACGCGGCACTGTAGCCACATCGTCATCATCATCATCATCATGCTGTGTTAGTGTCACGTGACCTTCGAGAGGGGCGCAGCGACGCGCAGGTGATGTGGTACGTGCGCAACGCTGGATTCGCTGGGATTGTTTGTAGTAAGCTCTATCGTCATCACATTTCTTGAAGAGAAGTCCCTTTCTGCAAATGTCGACGCCAATTAGGCATCGTGGAGCGAGGGGAGCTGACATCGGGCACAAAGGGCGCAACGAGCCTGCTATCGGACGAGTGGAAGCGGCCGTGGCAGACCGCGGCGCATCTTCAGCTGTAGACAGCGAGTCAAGGATGCGCATTCGCAAAACCTTCTGCGGAAGTCACATTCCCGACCAGGAATTGCCTTGCGTGCGCACAAAGCTTGTCAGCTCTCGTGTCAAGTTGGCGTGTTGTGCGGTGAAGAGGCGCTAAGAAACAATGCCAGGTTGCGAAGTGAGAGTCCACTTCAATAATTTGTTTTTCGATTTAGACAAAAATCAGTTTGATCAATCTTTCAGAAATGAAAGACAATAAACCCTTATAAAGCCGATATGTTCGTATTTTTTTAACTTGGGCCACCTCAGGGCAGAATAGGCGGGACTTTAGGCAACAAAACTGACTTTTCTACTACGTAGAATTCTTTTTACGTGTGAAGTATTTTGTTGGACGGAATTTTTCATTTGTACTAGATGTATAGGGCTTCCAACAACAACAAAAAGAAAGTTTTAACTGCCGTGCGCGAAGCAATTACAATAAAACATGAGAAAAGTGCTAATTCTTGTGCACTTCGTTGAATTCTTATAAAAATATTTTAACAATAGCTAAAAGCTAAAGCTGTTCGAATTTCATCAAACAAATTGTGAAGCTTTCCGAAGAAAATCTTATTTTTACTCAATTATTGAGTGATGCTTAGTTTTACGCACATTTTAGAAATTCAAACCACGCTCATGCCATAATTTTTTTTTGCGAGAATATTTTAGGAAAAGATAACCTTGGGATAAAAATTCATGAATTTTCTTTTAAAAATCGGAATGCTCGAAAGGAGATGGAATGACCCATATATAAGGTCTATATGTTCTTATGTCTTCGTACATGAATTGAGCACATTTATATAATTGTTTTTCACTAGGGTTGTGCATTCACTCAAAATGATCGTGACATCATGTCTCAAACATGACATCAGGCTGTTAAACTTAGCGCAATTCTGAGGGAAGGGGGGGGGGGGGGGGGGGGGGGGAGCGGGAGCGAGAAAGAAAGTTTTCTCAAGATGAAAAACAACTTCCGGTTTCTAACGTAAAATGTCCGGGCTCCCTAAAATACCGAGGGCATAAAGAGGTGGGCGACTTCGTGCGTAGGCCAAGGTGACGTCTTTCTGAAGGTGCGCTCTCCCACACTATTTTGGCGGCGTTCCCGCCGAAAGCAGTTTTTCCGCCAAATCTTTTTTTTCTTTTTTTATTCTTTTGCTTTGCGAGTGCTTGCTATAAAGGGACCCGCAGAAAAAATTCCTGAGAACTGACAAACAGAGAACGATTTCAGACATAAGAATATAACGCGTCTATTAGCGAGGTTAACGTACCTTTCGTGTGCGCTTGTGCTGTATTCACTGAAAATGCTAAATTATTAGTGCACAGAGACGTCGGAAGTATTCGGAAGATGCGTTTGAGAACAAAGGGGGGGGGGGGGGGGGGAGGATTTCTCTTCCTTGTGCTTTCTGTTCCGACGCTACTGTTAGTACAAAGTTCCAAAACCACACTTACATCTTGTCGTCTGGTATCAATGTTATAGCAGCAAGGGTGACTTCTACCTTAGCGTAATCTTTTCCAGTGGACAGAGTTGTAGCCCTGATGCACTGCTTTTATCAAATTGTAATGGATACCATTTTTTTTAGACCACCTGAGATTGGGTGGAAGGAACACGACAATTCTTCAGTTTTCACCATAACTTCGAACCGTTTACAAAGGAGCCAGATCTTCGTTAGACATACGAACGCTCGTTGTGTCACTACCGAACACGTGACTTTGATCACGTGACTTATAGCTCACGCCGGCTTTTAAGTTATCTTTTACACCATCGAAGTTCTCATTGCAGGACAAGAGAGACATTGAGTATCTCCGATATGGCAGTGTTCCTGATTAGTTATCAGTAGACAAAAACGTACTTCCGTTCAGGAAAGACTATAATCTGCTCTGTATTGGCGCTTCCTGGAATGGAACATTGGCCCCAAGAAAGATCTTGAAGTTGGCCAGCAACAACGTTATCGTATATGTCATCTGTGCTCGAAGTCCATGCCTTAATTAACATTTGCATTTATTAACGTGGATAGCTCTGCTCGTGAGTACGTCTCGCATCAATTAAATAGGAGTGTGGTTTATTATAATTACAATGAAATGACTGACCTTGGCACAGCTGCAGTGTGCTACAAGAATACTTTTAAAAATATTAAGAATAGAAATTTTTAGATATTAATGTATGTATGGAACAAAGGTGTTTGTAATGCAACTTGTATTAACATCAAACTTATTCACCATTTATGTTTTCGACATATGCTTATGAACGTTACTTTTTTCAAGGTTCGCGAGCAAATCCGGCAACGTTCCTCATTTTGAAAACGAAGCCTCATTCCATTTCATTATATCGCAGCGCATAAGTACCGAATCTGGTGAATAAATAAGAATAAGGTGAAGCGAAATCGTGCAAATTTCCATATTATATCCAAAACACAAATTCGCAGATATAAACTTGAATTTAGCGACACTTTGCCACCAAAGTTTCCTAGAGGATTTTTAACTCCGCGCAGCTCAAAGTATGTACGTCGACATTCAGGACTGTGGGCGTTATGATTATGTTCTAAATCACTTGCGTAATAGGCTGGCATGAAATTCGGTAACCTAAGCTCCATGTTCTACATCATCTGCCTAATGAGCTACATTGAAAATTAGGAAGATAACCAGGATTCAACGCAACCGAATCACAACGTTCCTCCATGTATAGGCACTCAAAACGTTCCTCAAGAGATAGGAACTACTATTATACTTACCTAGCGTTGAGGACCCATTCACCAACAAGAACACGATGGAATACACGAGCGCAGCCCAAAATAACGCAGCACTCGGGATTCCAAGTCTCTTCAACCCAACTTTCATGACGGTTATCCAGGGTCAGACGATGTCAGGCATCGCATCTCCAGCGTCCAAAAGCAATTCCAGAGGGCACATTATCTTCAATGCATCCACATCACCCGAACCATTCTTCTAGAATGACCTATTCTAAACAGAAGTAGCGGATGGCTAACTCGTTTCTATTGGTTTCAAATGAAAATCGAGAGTGACTTATGCTCCCTTCAGGGCCGGTGGCCCGAACCTCAGGGAACGACGGCGTTCGCAAGGTTGGCGCTCATTCTGGAGTTCTGGGAGACCCCGTCTGCTAAATCGGGCATCAGCTGCGAGGGGGGGCTGAGGTTAACGGGCGAGGAGGTCCGGTTCCTCCTCTCCCATGCTTGTGTGTTCGTTCGGTCGGTGTTGTTTCAAGTCCGTGCGTTCCGGGTTTGTGTTTGTGGCGGCGCCCGGCCGCGGATTCTCGTCTGGAAAGAGTCTGC